GTTATTTTGCATAATTGCTGAGTGTTACATTCAATTCTTTCCTGACATAATTTAAAGCAGCTCCAGACTTTCCCAGGAAATATTTTAATGAGATATATACACGTGAAATAAAGGTGTCTGTGATATGGGGAGCCGGTACCTGAAGGATTTGTTTGGTTTGTTTCATTTGATCATGTGATCACCTGATAGGAAACAAGATCACTTCTGCTGATTTTATTGCTTCCATTAGGAGCAATATAGACGTTTTTTTTTTAAATGCCTATATTTCTTAAAATATAATGAATATATTTTTTTAAATTTCCGTGAATGCACTCTGACTCTCACCCCATGATAGCTGAGCTAGGAGCCATCCCACCCTGAACTGGTTAGCAGGAGATGGGTGGATGAAAATAAAAAGCTGCTGGGTTAGGCTTCACAAGCAGTCCATAGTCAAAGCTCTCATATTTGAGTATTTGAGGTACAAGATATAAATCACAGCTTTCAGAGACACGGCATATGAAACATTTGGTTCCACATGTTCTTGATTGTACATGCCAGTAGACCAAAATGAAAAAAACAAGCAAACAATTAATGTTAAAAATGACAAAATGAATCAAACTGAATTTCACCAAATTTCTAAACTTTGTTGTAATTTCTCAACCAGTCTCAGAACAAAAAAGAAACCAATAAAAATTCTCAAATGATGAGCAAAAGTACAAAAATGAAGTATTTTTTAAAATATACTTTTTGGCTTTATTAGACAGAAACAGTGAAGGCTGACAGGAAAGTGAAGGAGAGAATGGAAGACATGCAGCAAAGGACTAGGTCCAAACCCGGCCGCCTGCTCTCAGCCATGCTACATATGGTCACCTGCTCATCCAACTGAGCTAAACTGGTGCCCAAAAATAGACACTTTTTTTGTTATGTCAGTGACTACTTCACAGATAAATGTGCTCTGTCACTGCACTGTTTCTGTGCTGTTTGGATGAAAGCAGAATGTAAAATATATTAGCCTGACATCAGCCTTATTTATCTTGTTTTAGATATTGTCTAATAGCTTCACTGCATGAAACTTCATTGTGTTTCGTCTGATACATTATATAATTTTATATGAATCATATAATATTCTGCTGTACAGTAACAAGTAACTATATCTTACAAAAAGAAGAAAAGAAGTGCTTCATAACTGATGGCTAATCCTGCAGGTTGGGAGGTAGAAGTACAACGCACACAAACAGTAAGACTGGCTAAATATGTGGGGTCAGTCAGTCGGGATTAAATACCAGCCCCTCGGTCAACGAACATCTAAAAGTTGGAACTGAATAGTTTTTTATTGACCACTCAAAGGGTTCCAACCAAATATAAACAATAAAAAATGTGCAGTTTATTTTCACTCACTTGAGTAAACATTATTTTTGTGATATTTGTGTGATGAAACCAACTGAATGTTTACATTTACATTGTGTTGAAATCTTCAATTATAAAATAAAACACCCATGAGTTATGACAAAAAGTATTCCTTTGTGGTCAAGTATTTCTTACCGAAGAGGAAATAAAGTATGTTTTACCTACTTATTACTTAACACAGGTGTTGTTGACTGTCGTTAGAACCTCATTTCAAGTTGTTGCCAGTCAAGGGCAGGATCTATTAGTGAAACAAACCTAATTAGTAGTGAAGCTTGTCAGGTGGGCATGTATACACTCGTAGAGTATTAGATGCTTCCTTTAGTTACTACTTCTCAATTTTTTGACCCATTCCTCATGACTATTGTTCCAATATAGACACATTTTACCAGCACAACCAGTCCAAACTATGTCGGGGCCTTTTTAAATTGTATGACTGTTTTCATCAGTTAGACACAAATACCTCAAATAATACGAGTGAGTATCTGCTCAAACACTGGATCAACCTTCTGTTGTCATTAACTGGCTGATTTGCAACAGTCAAAATTAAAGTCCACACAATAATTATCAGTTCTTAATGCCCCCAATAGCACTCACAGAAAACTGGTTTAAATTCCTCGATGCATGAGCAACAAAAATCTATCGGAAAAACAAGAAACCCAAAATTGCCATAGCAACACTACAAGATAATAAATGACACGATAGATTAGAAGCAGTACAAATTTGCATTATTATGTCACAGTGAACTAAAATATTTAATCAAATGGATACAAAAGAAAACCTACAATGACTCACAGATAGATGTAGAACTTAAGAAGTTAGAAATTAGAAGTTGGTAACATCCTGGTGGAAAGCAAACAAAATCATTAAATCGTCACCATCACCATATATTATTGTATTATTGTCTAAAGTCCATCATTCAAGCTCGGGTCCTCTACCAGAGCCCTGGGAGTTTTAGGGTGCTGCACAGCATCTTAGCTGTTTCCAGGATTGCACTCTTCTGGACAGAGATCTCCGATGTTGTTCCTGGGATCTGCTGGAGCCACTCGTCTAGCTTGGGAGTCACTGCACCAAGTACTCCGATTACCACTGGGACCACTGTTACGGTTAGAAAAACTGCTGGCCGTTTCAGCAGTTTTTCTAACCGTGGCCATGGCATTGTTGGTAAGTGTTTGTGGTCACCATTACTGAAAGCAGGCCTTTTGAATAAAAGGGTAGGAGTGCTACAATGTTACTGTAGATCAGGGGTCCCCAATCCCATACCACGAGGGCCGGTGTCCCTGCAGGTTTTAGATGTGTCATGATCCATCACAGCTGATTTAAATGGATAAATTACCTTCTCAACATGTCTTGAAGTTCTTCAGAGGCCTGGTAATGAACTAATCATGTGATTCAGGTGTGTTGACCCAGGGCGAGATCTAAAACCTGCAGGACACCGGCCCTCGTGGACTGGGATTGGGGACCCCTGCTGTACAATATGCCGGCCACTTTGTTGTGGCGTTTCATTCTCTATAGATCTTGTGCTGAAAGCTTGTTTCTGTACTGCCACAATTAGTGCCTTGTTCAGCCACTCTTGGATTTCTGGATTTCAGCCACTTTCTCTATCTGCTCGTGTTCTTTGCAGATAAGGGAATCTGCCAGTTGCCCTTGGTTAAGTCTAGCATCGTAAAAAAAAAAACTAGCTCTGCCCAACTGGTCCAGGAGCTCGTCGATCAAACATCAAACCTCATTCAACTTCAACACAGAACCATATGGACCCATGTTTCTTTAGTACAAGAACTATGGGGCTGTGCGACTCTTCCATGCACTGTTTGACTCTTCTATCATTCCCAGCTTGAGCAGTTCAAACAATTCCTTTTGCACAGTTTGTCTCTGGCGTTCAGGTAACCTCTGAACGTGCTGTCACATCAGGCCGCATTTCAAAATGTTGCTCCATGGCATTTGTACAGCCGGGCAGGGGGGAGAACACATCTGCAAAAACTGCTATTGCAACACAGCAAAATCTGCTCTCTGGGCCTGTATGAGATGGTTATCACAATAGGGGGAGGCCAGAAAGCTGAAATTTGGCACCTCCAGCCACCGGAGAAGGGTCTGGAGAAGCTACAGGGTCACCAGAGAAGCTACAAGGAGAGACTAATACAAGCACTTTGTCTCCCAGTGAAAATTGCCAGAATCTAGCCGCTCCCTTTGTACGGGCGCTCCTGGGCCTGGAGGAAATTTTCCTCAGCACCACTGTGGAAAAAACTCCTGGCACGACCCGGATGCTTGGGCAGTTTTTATTTGATTGATGTGCTCTTGAACTTTGCAGCGCTCTTCCTTTATCTTCGCTGTCAGTTTCTGTCACGCCAGCTCCTGTGTCTGGATGAAAATGCTCCTCTCCGGCCCCAGCAGCTACTGGAATAGGTAATGCATGATTAAATGATGCTCATCAGTTGTGAAGATCAGCCTCCCCTGCTTCCACACCCTAAACCCGCTGCTCCACCCCACCACAGCTGGATTCTCATTCTTATTTGGATTCAGGGCTGAACCTGCTCTCATCTGCAAGGATAATTGGGGCACCAGTGGCAGACCTGCTAGTTGTAGTGTTCTCTAGGTCCGTTCACGAATGTTTTGTTTGAAAATGCAGTAGTAGCTTACTGGTGATCTGGCTCTAGCAGTGCTTTTCCTGCTCCACCTTGCCCCAAACCCAGATAGTGTGATGACCCTTTAATTTTTTTAGAGGAGTTTATTCTGAAGTTAATTTGTTTACAAGAAAGTGAAATTTGTTGTTGTTGTTGTTCATTAAATTATTGTTTTTTTTGTTTGTGTTTGTGTTCATTCAATTACTGAGGATTCTGTGACTTGGTGGTCCAAATGAGACTGCTACAATAATAAAAACGATTTTATTTATTTAGACCTACCAAAATCCCAGCAGTGAGTTTAGCAGTTACTACTTGTCAGTCACTATAACTGCATGAAATATAAAAGATTTCCTGTATCTGTCTGTATGAAAGCAGAGCTGAATCCGTCTTTTAGAGACAGTACTTCACCTAAATTCATAATCATTTAATTCACTGCTATATTTGATTAAAGTTATCACAAGACTTGTGAGTGATATGTGTAGTGTTTTGTTTTTCCTCTGCTTCTCACAGCAGGTCAGTGATGACCGACAATTAAAAATGTTGTAATCATCCAAAGGTGACAGACTTTAAAATACACTTTCAAGAAAAGAACATTAGGCAATGTAAACAGCCCATTAGCAGAGTGGACCCCCCATTTTTATTCCTTCCACTAAAAGATGATTTCTCAGAGCAATTATTACGAGGTGACCGTACAACTATTACATCTGTGTCTTCATTTAGTAACACTATCATGTTGTCACATTAGTTTACTACTTCCTGTAACTCAGTGACAACAGTGTCCCGTGTGAGGTGGGGAGGCTCTGGAGAATGTTTCTCAAGCAAAGTAGCATATGTAAGCGGCTATGTCATAAGAATACTAGCATACAATGCTTTAAAAGGAGCATTTTCCGACAGCTCGTGTTATCAGAATTAGGTGTCAGGCATGCCAGTCCAATTCCTGGCATACCTATGTGTGTTAACCTTAAGTATAAAAGAGAGTGCTGCTGTTGGCTCCGGCATCCAAACACCTACAAGTCAAAGAAGAAAAAGAGAATTTATCCATTCATCCAACTACTAACACGAGTTGCAGCAACCCACAGAGCAACATGCGTCTGTCTTCTATATCGCTCTGTAGCCTCCTTCTCATTTTAAAGCTGCAGCTGACTAGTACATATCCCATCAGCACTGGCTTGACTGACACTGACATGGACATCTTGAAGGTAAGTCTCTAAAGTCACTAAAGTTTTTCTTGAAAAAGTTGAGTCTTTCTGGGAGTTTCAGGCAATCTGTAGCAGCAATCAGAACAAGGAACTCAATTTTATTCACGTAAAATGTTGAACAACATCCTGCATTTCCTTCCATAGCTGTTCCCAATATTTAGCCTTGATCTCTCATGTGATAAAAGCATAAAGTCTGATCATTTTTATCTGTCACCTGTGCTCCAACATTGCTTCTAATAATCTCAATAAACTGAGACATAAACTGTTGACAAATACATTTGAGTGCCTCTGTCTATCCTCATGCCATAGTTAAATTGCCATGTTTATTATTCAAGACACAGTACAACTTTCATCTGTGTGGATCTTTAAAGGTGCTCCTAAGCAGACTGGAAGAGTCTGTTTCAGACCAAACGGCAGTGGACCAAAATGCCCCTGGACAGAGAGATCTTCTAGACAGCCTTAGCAGAGAGGACGCAGGAGATAGACATCAGCCAGACACCGGACTAGATGAAGCTGAAATCCGGGAGTTTCTTTCGGCCAAGAACCTCAAGAGTGTCCGCAATGATTCATCTAGGAAATCCTCTGGTTGTTTTGGGCGACGGATGGACAGAATAGGCTCCATGAGCTCTCTGGGGTGCAACACTGTGGGAAGATACAGTAAGTTACAGTAACTACACTACAACACGGTTAGAGTAATGTACCACAGATTTAACTCTTACTCTCTTACTCTTCCCTTGCAGATCCAAAGCAAAGATGAAGTCTTACCATCTAAATTCCAAAACTGCAACGTCTCTACCCAAAGATACTTTTATTTAAAGGCTATTTATTTACTAATATTTATTAAATACTGTTGCTCAGCAGAATATTTAAAATAATCAAAGCCAAACTGTTCCTTGTGTACTGTTGAATGTTTTAATAAATGTTTACAACTGCACGTCATTGGCCCTCATCACTGACCATGAGACACAGCCAACATATTTCAAAAAGGCACAAATGTACGGGAGACTTTTCCTTTGAACTGTCAAATATAAAAACACACACTGAAACATGCAGTGTTGTCTTAATGAAGAAGCTCTTGTCATTCTGAGTAACTGACAGCAGCAGGGAGCTCTATGCAGGACGTTTATATACAGAATTCATTTGATAACAGATTTACTTTTCTGTCTTCATAAAAAAGAGTAATGATCTGACACAGATCATTACTCAACAACATTGATTAATATGCTGAACTGTTTATTGGTGATAATGATTTTCCATTCCCATTTATTTCACTGCCAGTGCGTTACTGCTGATCAGCTGAGTAGTTTAGTGTGTACATGCTTAGCTTGGCACCTGATTGCGTCTCCGAGGTTGATTAAACGCTTTCTAACAAGGAAGTGATGTACAGTGAATTACAGTACAGCTTAGCACTCCATCATCAGTGAGGAGCTCCACTGATTAAAGCTACAATTACATCATCATGAGTGAATTTGAATTTGCTGACTTTTTTAGAGTGTTCAAACCACCTTTCATGGCCACATGGTTTAGATGGCTGTTTGACTGATTGATATATTGATTGTTTCCACTAGATGTATAACAATTCACACTGACTCCACCACACTTTACAAGTCCCCAGCTTGTTAAATAAATTCCCCTTTTAGAGATAATAAAGGGGGAAGAAAAATCACATGTGATTTCTTGTTACAGGCACCGAACAGGGTATTAATCCTATAATGTCCTTTGTATCATATTTAATATGAGTTTCTGAGACCTCTATCTCATGAACATGATCAATACTTGCCATAATTTCAAAATCTTATGGACAAAACTAATTTTTTGTCTAAAATTAACATTGTTGTTAACAAAAAGTTGCCAAAACAGCCAATGTATCAAATGCGATACAAAAAATATATAATAAATATATAATAAACATATATCATGCACAACATTATGTAGGAAAAAAAAAGATTTGTGGATTTTGTTATAAGGGCTAATAAACATCTCAGTTCCAAAAAAATCTGAATTTTATGGATATTTTTTGATGGATTGGGTCTGACAACCCATCTTAAAAATCTCTTCGTCTAGAAATATACTAGGCACGTGCACGACTAGACGACTAATCATTGCTATTGTAACGAGTGGGCACCAGATTTCTCCAAGACATCCTGGAGAAATCTTTCGGCTGGCCTGGGAATGCCTTGATATTTCTCTGGATAAGCTGGAGGAGCTGGTTGGTGACAGCGAGGTCTCAGCTTCCCTGCTTAGACTGTTGCCCCTACGGCCCAACTTCACAGAAGCAGAAGAAAATGGCGGGGTGGTTTATCGATTTATCATTTTAGATTTAAGGTTTTATTGAAGTGGTTGTCATTAACCATGTACATCATTCAAGAGTCTGGGGATCTGAGGAAAAGTTGTGTTTTTTAGTTATAGTAAGAGTATGTAATAGTTTTCTTGTCATATTTTATTTTAAGTGTAGTTTGTATGTTTGAAGTAGAGTGTGCAACAAAAGGTATAAAACACTCATACCATCTATAGATTACAGAACTTTAACCAAACCATTGTCAAGAGTAAGTATCCACAGCCTTTAATCAATTCTGTCTTCTGATCTTTGCAACATTATTTACTAAACTGGGTTTTAAAAAATTAATTATTTGGTTAGAATCCAAGATGGAGATGAATGGAAAATTGTTTTAAAACTCCACTGGGACATTTCAAACACCTCGTATGCTGTTTGGGTTAACCGATCCCTACGGTGTCTCAGACCCTCAGAAAAGATGTCCTAAGAGACTTCTTTAGCGTCTTCATCTTTGTGTTTAGATTGGGATTTTCCTCTACTTTTTTCAAAATCCTGTTCGAGGTTGACAGGTGAAGCCTGGCCCCACCTCAGGTCCAGCTGGACCACAGACTACAATTTCTCTCCTACCTGCAGACTGCTAAAAGTTTGAACTCCAATCTTACACAATAGTTCTTGTTTTTAGAAGATTCAATTTGTCCACCATGTACCGCTTGTACCGGTGATGGAAGACTTTTACCTTACAGCATCTCGAGGCAACTTTTGTTGTATTTGGAACTTTTTTTTTAAGAACTGAAATTACCACCATGGCATTCCTTCCCAGCTTCCACTGGGACCACATCACTAGGTTTGCCTGCTACCTTTGGGTAAGTAGAACTACTTCTTTCCTGAAACAATATTTTTGGTGTCCTTCATTAGTGTTAAAGAATACGTTCCTGCCTCCCCCACATGTCTCCTTCACCCACTAACAATTCCAAATAGGTTCTTGTCATACATCTTTTTGGATTTTATCACTGATTTTCTCCTCTCAGATGGAAAGACAGTTATATTAACCACTGTGTACAGGTTCTCTGAGGCAGCTCACTGTGTGGCCCTGAAGAAGCTCCCTCAGCCTCCAATTTCAATTCAATTTAATTCAATTTTATATAGCACCAAATCATAACAGCAGTTGACTCAGGGCACTTTAAATTGTAAGATAAAGACTGTATTGTGGAGGTAAGCATGGACGACACAGAGCTCTTAATTCTCACTCCTTCTTTATTCCTCTCCAACATCAACTGAACACATCGCGCCACAAACACAGCAACACACACTTCCTCAACACTGGGTGTGAGTGGAGCCCTCTAGTGGTCCACCACAGTATAATAATACAAGAGCAAGTGCTTTGGATTCTACCGTCAGACAAATGGACAGATCGAAAGATGAAAGCAGGAAGTAGCAGCAGCCTGTGGTTGAATTATCCATAACAATCCATAACTTTGAGTTGTCTTGTGAATATGCCCATAACTCACTCAGTGCTAAAAGCAATCACTATTTAAAGTTTCAACTGGTTCTCAGCCACCCCATTCCCATCCAATGAAGAGGAACTGGATGTGCTCCCAGTTCAGTCCCATCTGAAGCACAGCTGCTGCAACTGGAACCAAATGAAGGTCGCCCAGCTTTGAACTGCTGACTGCAGTCACTGCTTTAATTTTCATTGTTTGGCGTTCTCATAAAGCCAAAGCATCAAGCCATGACATTATGCTCTTTCAGGCTCTCCTGGCTCTGTTTTCATGAGAGAGCACGCAAAAGCTGGGTGCTCAGGATCCACATCCATTCACCACAGCCACAGTCATTTGGTTAGCCTGTTCCTCAAATGATGGAAAGGAGTCCAAACTGTATTGGTCTGAAGTGGATTCAAACAGCAACAACAATGATGAATTCTGGGTAATTTAAATGCATTCCAACAGCTAGCAGTTCAACCATCAGGCCACAGAGACACCTCCTGCAGCAGCATGTCCAGGATCACATTACTTTTCAATCACACCCAGTGCATTCCCTTTATATTCCTTCTTACCACTCAGATTAATGTCCTTGTCTGCTCAAAGCCTGAAGGCAGCTAAGGTCACACTGTGCAAGTATATGTGGCACATCTGTAATGCTGCAAAGCCACATAAATCTCATATTTTATTGCCCAAATACTTTACATTCCCTATAATTCTCCGGCTCTAGCTGGCCATCATAGGTCCTACAAAGTCCTCTGGGAGCTTGGTCAGCTGTGGAGGATTGTCCCACGCCAAGAGTGTAAAGAAAAAACAAAAGCAAATTTAAAAAAAGTTTTTGTATGTTTTAAACATGAGGTCTGAGCATGACAATGGTATTAGTCTTCTCAGCAAAATGAAACAAATGATTCTCTAAATATTATTTATTTATTTCAGTTCTGTTTAGTTTTGAGTGACCTTGTGATTTTTTTTAAATTGCTTTTTAATTTTCTCCAAGTAGGAATTTAAAATGACTCCTTAGAATTCAAATCTGCAGGATTATTAGGGGTCTGTGTGAAGCACATCCCTTATTAAATGTGCCATTTATGTGCCTTCTGAATGAGCGAACAAGGCAAAGCTCCACCCATGAAATGCAATCTCTTATCATAGTGCATCAAAGTCTGCACTTCCAAAATGTGCGACTGCAAAGACCCTAGAAACCAATAAAGACCTCAGGCTCTGATTTGTCTGATTAATACTGTGGAGTTACAGTAAAATGAGAACATGGTGTTTGTGTAACTCTTAACTTTGAAACTCACCGAATACACATTAAAACTCAAATATTTATTTTGTAAATATTTCTTTAAATATGTGAAAATTACTTGTTTGTTATAAAACATGTAAATTTATAATTGTTTCTTGAAAGTTGAGTCCATGTAATTCTTGTCTACTTTCTATTAAAGGCCACCTATTATTGAAACATACTCACAGTATATGCTTCTTCTTTTCTATAATACCGCCTGTTCATGCCTGTTCATAATGCAGCCTATAATTTTAGATTACAGGCTGTATTATTCCTACCTTACAAACTCATGGCAGGAAGAAATGCCTTCAGTTATGGTAATAAATCATATTCACGATACTGTTTATATTCCTTTGACTATAACATTGTTTCCTTCCTGTCCTAATCTAAACCATGGAACCACGAGCAGCAGTTTTAACCTACTATGGTACGTTTCATTCTTAGGAGTGTAGACAGTGTTAAGTATTTGCATAGTGAAACTGCATTCTTCCCAATACACAGCTCAGAGATCCAAGATGGCTCCTTAGGTCATGCCACACACACACACACACACACACACACACACACACACACACACACACACACACACACACACACACACACACACATGTCACTTACCACCAAGCGCCACTTAAAGAGACATCTGACCAGCGGCCTTATCATTTAGAGGTGTCAGAATGCACTTGGGGCCGTCTACAAAATGATGGCACTGCCTGTCTGGCGCATGGTAAGTGTATGTAGATGGTTGTGTATGTGAGCCAGTCTGTATATAAAAGCTTGCAGTGCATGCTATAGTATCAGTATTAGCAGAAGAAACATAACATGAGAACTGAGGTTCTGTGGGGTGTATTGGCCCTGCTGTGTCAGCAAACACTGGTTAGCAGCCACATACTGGGGAGGCCCTCATCTGCTAATGACCTGGCTCAGCTCAAGGTAAGAAACCATGTCACACCTGTAATCAACACACCATTTGTGAAAACATTACACTGTGAAGGGTCAGGTACTTTGATATTCAAACAGAGAGAGGGTCAAAGATGAGAAAATAGTTGCATGAATAACATATTTCCTGTTATTACAACATTTAAAAGTCATTCAAAGGCAGTTTCACTGGTATCAGTGTCTTCAATTATACCATGCTTGTAGGAATGCTACAAGCATTTTATAATTGCACAAATGCATCCAGTCCAGTATAACTGATTTATGTTTTACTTGACAAAGTAAAGAGTTTTTTTCAAATATAGTTTAAATCAGACCACGTGTTGACATGCTTTTCTTTGGATTTGTGAGTATTGAGAGGGCATAACAAGATAAAATGTTGACTGTTGTGATGACACCAAGAAGACACAACAACAGATCAGGCGATTACAAACAAAGCAACACAATGTCGAAAAGTAGTTATCATTAGAGTGTGACCTCACATTGATCTGATCTCAAAGATATACCAGCTTTACTTTGTTCTCCTGATTTTCACTTGTAATTTTAACTTCATCAAAACCTTCATCTTCATTCTTCCTTCATCTTATAATTAGCTGAGGTGAACTAGAAATTAGAGCTCTCTGCTTCCAGAATAACAAGCTGTGGTTTAGCTGTGGCTGAAGTAGACAGTTATTAATGAGTTTGCTTTGACTCTGACACAGCACTGACAACACATGAACAAAACCTTCACCTTTATTCCTGATATGCTGTTAATATTTGCATACCTATTAAATTAGGCAATAAAAACATCCATTGTTTTGAAAGTATGCAGCCTTTGGTTCATAGTGTGAACGTCACAATATCTGTGCACTGATGATAACTGTGATATTTAAAATTTAAACATCGTGAATGATGGGTCCCTCTTGTTTGTTGTTGGCTGAGTGGGTGACTCCAGGTGGGCTCTCAGACTCGGGACCCATCTGCTGACTCTAGTCCACGCTTTGCGGTGGAGATGGTGAGTCCCAACCCTGGGACCCCAGGTAGGGTGTAGTAGGGGATTTAGATGATCAGCTGATGAACTGGGTCTTTCCTGGCTACCTTGGTGGCCCCACACAACTCGTCACTGCTGTGTTTTTCAATTTGATCTGCACCTGAGGCATTGAGTGTGAGCATTGTTGACCAGCTGTCGGGTGCTCATGTCACAACTGTCAATCTTAAAAGCACTCTATTTTTCATACAGTCATACTCATCCTTTATATCTCAAACACTCACTTGCACCATAAGGTCTGTATTTAAAAGCTTGCAGTGTACACTATAGTATCAGTATTAGCAGAAGAAACATAACATAGGAACTGAGATTCTGTGAGGTGTAATAATCCAGTGTGAGAGTCAGCTGGGTTAACTGTTGCTTCCTGTTTACCTAGCTGAGGCAGCTTTTATTCCTCCTTTTCTGACAGACAGACCCCCACTGTCAATAAATTCCTCACACAAGTTTATAGCTAAACCAACTGATTTGAGATGCTGGAGGTCAGGGTTCAGCAACTTCATCTCATTCTAAAAGTCCACTATTGTCCTTTAAACAAGGGTTGACAAACAATCCTCATCACCTGGGACCTTTCTTTTGGCTCACGCTGGGATGGCCGGCCTCTTGTGGGGTTGGTTACCCATTGGTTCTCTGGGGCCCTTGTCCTTTGGCAGTGGGGGCTCCATGTGGAGCCTCCCTCTTCCTTCACGTGGTTGTCATCGAGATGTGTGGCCTCAGGTCTTCACTATTCTTGGGGGTCCGTGGACAGCCTGGGTCTCATGGTCTAATGGACCTGACTCTGGCTCCCAGGGGGGTGTTGTTGCAGCCTGTCACCCTCATTATGTATACACACCCACACCCACCCACCCACACACACACACACACACACACACACACACACACACACACACACACACACACACACACACTTGCACGTCCCACCTGATTTATTAGATGCTTTATGATTTCTACAACAGTCTTTGCTGGAACGCTTTGAGGAGACATTGGATGAAGTGGTCCAGAAAGAAGACTTGGAAGCTTATTATGAAGACATGAACCAAGAGCCCAAAAGCAGCCAGGCCAGCCAAGGATGGGACCAAGAGGGGAACCAAGAACCTCTGATATCTGAAAAAGCCCAACCACTAACTGAGGGCAAGACTGTGAATCAGAGGAGCCGCCTCCAGGACCTGCTGATGGCCACCAGGAAACGCACCTCTGGCTGTTTTGGAGCCAGGATCGATCGAATAGGAAATGCCAGTGGCTTGGGATGCAATAGTGGAAGAGGTAGGACTGCAGTCGGAGAAGCAAAACACAAATTTGAATTAAATTTGTTAAATAAATACAGAGCATTAGAACATGTCAACCCTTAAAAATGTGCATGCAGTTGGATTTTGACTAAATGTGCATTCACATATTCTACAAGTTCTTAACTTGACAACGTGACAATTGTGTTGATGTGTTTTCTCACTTGTTATTCTTTCGGGCTGCTGCCTTTCGGGGTTGGCACAGCATTGAGCCTTCATCTGCCTCCATCACACCAACTTCCTCTGCACATGTCCAAACTATCTCAGCTTTGCCTTAAACATTGACCTTCTTCACACTATTCATTGTAAAAATGTTTTGGACAGTCCACTTTTGTTCATACTATAAAGTACGCCAAGTAATAATTTGCAGAACACATTTATGTTGATTGACACTTAGTTTTATTTATTTTTTAAATGAAATATAAATACTTAAAGTTTAAGTAGAAGTTGGAAATAAATGCATTTGAAGGATGATGATGGTACCAGGATTGCAACATGACCAGTTAAATAACAGTACTGTCTTCTTTTTGTGCTTGTGTCATTGTCCTCCTAGGATAGTCCAGCCTTTTCCCGGGGCGCATGACGAATTCTGCTGTTGGAACTGAAATTATATCAGAGAAATATAGAGTTTGGAAAAGTATGGTTTTGTATTAGTTGCATTTCAACTTTGTGTATCTATTTTGCATGTTTCTGTGTCAGACATGAGAAACTGGCTGTTTTTCAAGTAGGTAATTAATTCGATAAGTCCATTGTAGATGAGCAACATAAACACTTTAATGGAAAAGAGTTAAACAACTACTGTAACTGCATGTGGGGGTCTAACAAAAATAAACATATTTTTTACTTACATGAAGGATTCTCTCTATTTTATAGACAGAATAAAAAGTAGAATTTAAATAATATTTGAGATTGCAGTGTGCACATTGAGGAGCGGAGTGACTGATGCTGCTATAAAAGAATACGGCTCTCACAACAACAAAGTGGTAAAGTATGTGAAACATTGTACTGCATATATGACACACTGCAGGAGGACAGTGGTTGTCCACACTGAGGTTTTTAATAAAAAGGGAAATAGTTGTTCCGTGTTACTGTTGGCTTCCATCACCATGACATACTTAAGATTCGAACAAACTTTTTACAATTTTTCTGATAATTTGCTAATTGTGAAATAGGCTGATAGTTACCAATAGAGCTGTCAACAAGGTTAGGTTTCTTTAGTAGAGGAGTTACCTTAGCAAAGCCAAATAAATGACTCAAGGCACCGAACGGAAGCAGTTTGAGGACATCACATTATTTATGTGATTTAAGTGATTGATAAATGTGTTACAATCATCATCAGAAAGTAACAGAGCGTGCTGAGATGGAGGAGAAACAATACAGTTGATAGTATCCAATGATAAACGGAAATTATTCTTATAGCAAGATTACTGACATAAGAGGATCGAGCGAGTAAGAGTGAATGAGCTCTTTGAAGTGTTCACAGTAGACAACCAAACCTCGGGACTTCTGCAGTCATCCTGCTTTTCGATGGAAATATTGAAGGCTGCAAGTCTTATTAATTAACCAGGGTGAGTGGAAATTGACAGAGCAAGGGCCACTTTGTAAGGAGTGACCTGATTGAGAATGGCAAGAAACTGTTTGTTTTAATAAACACTCTCTTGCCTTTCTCAATCATTATGAACCTTAAAAGAGCAGTGAAAGCTCAAACGGATCATCGGGCATAAAAATGTCTTTTTTTAAAGCTTACAGCTGTTCCACTTCCTTTGGCAAAGATGTGAGGAGCACAAATGAACTGGAACTCTAGAATATAGTTTTTAAAAATACCACATTTTATTATCACGCTGCCAGGCCAAAAAGATTAACATTAAATCCAGATTCTCATTATAGAACAAGTCCTTTAAAATATAAGACTACAAACTGAGTGGCTGGTTATTACAAGTTTTTTTTGGTGGCGTAAGCTACACACAAAATCAGGGTTCCTGCTGTGTTGGGCCCTAGCTTTCCACGCCTTTTAGATGGCAGCCCAGGTGGTAAACACAAGGCAGCATGGACTAGTCCAGCCTCAACCAGTCTCAGGTGAATCTGCCTGGCATCAACCCAACATGAGCGCAGGAGCAGAGCTTCCACAGAAGCAGCACAAGGAAATTAGCTCTTTCCTCCTGTGGGGTATCCCAAGCAAAGACAGGCTGACCATCAAAAGTGGAAGTATACCCGGGGCCATCCTCAAGCTGTGCTGGAAAGAACCCTGTTTGCTTTACGCTGGAAATTATACATAAGAGATTTAAGGGCTAGCAGGCAGATGATGCCAGACAAAAATGTAGTTAAAATATGGGCATAACGTGTAAAATAAACAAGAGGCAGAGGCAGCAGAATCAGCAAAAAAGGATTCAAAGAGTATATATGATAGAGGTAATCTTGTGCATGGTTTCACAGTGAATGGGGTTTGAGATGAGGACAAACAGTAGGTATTTTCCATCTGGAAACATCTGCATGTAACATTATTTCATTTCATTTATTTATTTATTTCACACTTGGTCAACAGTTTCCACAGTTAGTTCTTTCAAACAAACCAACTACACTTTCTGTCAGTAAAGCACTGCAACCACGTGTGAAAAGGAGCAGGCAGAAGAATATATTCTTATTAAACCCTGCCCCCCATCTACAATCCAACTTATATCGCAAGTGGGCACCAAAAGTCAAGGAACAAACTAACATTAACACTTATTTCCTGTCCTAACTCAAACCAAACAACAAATTTACAGTAAGAATATATCACTCCACATAGTAACAAGGAGAAAAGATAAGTAAATAAAATAAATGAAACAAAAAACACCCCAGTTTTATTTATATCATGCCAAATCATTAATCACAAGTACTGAAGTACTCCCACTAGGTTTAAATCTGGGACTCCCCACCATTTGAGCTTAGAACTGAAGAAGCTTCTCGGATGAGAGGTCAAACGTCTTCAAGCAACTTAAAGAAGCCCAGACGCTTTTCTTTGCAAGCTCCTTTGACTACAATGACCTGGATGACTGAGAACCTTCACAGACACAAGTACTGAAGATGCTTTAAATTATTATCGTGAATAACTTAGTCTTGTATAGTAGCTTAAAAAAAGGGTTGACTCATCAAAGTCGCCCCCTTTGGCAGATATAACAGCTGAAGACAGTCGTGGCTTCTTTCTACAATAGAAATCAAATATTCTCCCATATCTGTAGCAGAAGTTCCCATAAACGTGGACCTTGTAGGTTGCTTTGCTTTCACTCTTCTGTCCACTTCATCCCAAACCAGCTCGATGGGGTTTAAGTCTGGAGACTGTGCTGGACACTCCGTGTTTTCAAGCTCACCACCTTGTTCTTTGTTCCTGAGGTAGTTCTGGCACAGCTTGGATTTAGGTTTTGGGTCTTTATGTTGCTGTAGGATGAAGCCCTGACCAACCAAGGTCATACCAGAGGGTCCTGCATGGTGCTGCACAATGCTGTGGTTTTGGTTCAGGGTGCCTCTCACTCTGTACAAGTCACCGGCAAACAGCCCCAGACCATCACACTTCCTCCTCCATGTTTGACAGTCGATGCCACACACTGTGGAACCATCCTTCACCTACTCCACCGCAAAGATCCTGTGTGATGATCTCAAGATTTCAAATGTTGATCCATCAGTCCATAATACCTTCTTCCAGTCTTCAGTAGTCCAATGGTGGTGTTTCACGGCCCAGCCAAGCCTCTTTGTCTTATTCTGACGTCTGGCATTCTTGCTGCAGCTCGTCCTGTCAAACCTGCAGCTCAAAGTCTTCTCTTCACAGCTGAAACTGAGACTTGCTTACTACGACCACTATTAAGCTGCTTGAAGCTGTTGTCCTGTGAGCCGCCTATCACACAGCTGTTAACTTGTCCTCTGATTGAGTCGTGTCTTTGGGTCTGCAGACCTCTTCCTGTCAGTTTGTTTCTGAGCCTTTGGATGGTGAAGGAAACTGGACTCACTGACACCTTGACTTTCTTTGCAGTTTCTCTGTAGGACAGACCGACATTTATACGTGTTATGATGGTCTGTCTCTCTTCCATTGTTAATCACCTTTTTTTCACCATTTGTGTACCATCACACTGCTTTCTGCAGTACAATACTGTTCAAAAATTGCAATAAATAACTGGAAAATCTGGGGTGTTCTAAAACTTTTGACCGGTAGTGTATATAAATAAAAAGGCTAGAGGTTAAAAGCTTTGTGGCTAGAGGTGAGTTTTGAGAAGATTTTTAAAAAGAGTCCAGTGATGGGGCGTTGCGAGAGTTCCAGAGGGTGGGGGCTGCCACACTAAAGGCTCTGTTCCCAAAGGTTTGGAGGTTGTTGTGAGGGACAGAAAGTAAACCCCTGGCTGAGTACTGCAGTATCTGAGATTGTGTGTATGGGTGCAGCAGTGTCAGACAGGTACTGAGGGCCCAGAGCATCAAGGGATTTGTAAGTGAGAAGAAGGATCTTGTAAGTAATGTGTGACTAGTCTGGGAGTCAACTGAGAGTCGGTTGAAGTGACATGTTCCAGAGATAAGTGCATGTTAAAATCATAGCAGCTGAGTTCTGGACATACTGGAGCCTGTCCAGGTCTTTGCTGGAAATCCTGAACAGCCGTAATCCAGCCAGATGGTGAGAAAGACTTGGATAAGCGTTTCTGCTACAGAGGATAGCCAAAATCGAAAGGTAGGACTGGAACTTGAAGAGTACAGTACCAGTGAGGCAAGGATAGAGGAATAGTGTGAGACACCCTTACCTCTCCAGTTTATGAGTTATCTGCTTTAAGGTATGCATTTCACAGTTATACCAGGAATTCAAGTACTTCTGATTTTAGTTTTGTTTTTTTATTTTAATAATAATTTGACCTGAAATGAGAACTAAACTGGATAAAAAGTTTGAAAAATCAAATGAAAACTCTAAAACTGTTTTTTCAGTTTTTCATTTCAGGGGAACAATGCAAAGAGTTAGATGGTAAATGGGCAGATTCTATTTTTTAGCACTTTTCTGCTCTCCCAGAGCACTCGAAGTGCCACATTCACCCATTCACACAAACAGTTCTTTCTGTGCTTTTCAGTGCTTCCTAGCCAACATCCACATTCTGATGGATCCACGGAGAGCAACATGGGGTTAGTATCTTGCCAAACGATATTTGTCATTCAGACTGGGGAAGCCAGGGATCGAACCACTAACCTTCCGATTAGTAGATGAGCTGCATTTGAACTAACATAGTTATCCTGCTGTAACTAGCTTTCTGTAAGGCAGAATAAATCAATATGTTGATCAATTATTACTTGCTATACTAATAATTATTAAGTGCTAACAGGCAATTATAAGAGAGAGGAATGTTAGCCACTTCATCCAAAGTGAGATGGATGCCACATCTTCTAACAAGTCCAGGTTTTCCTCATTTTGACAAAGCCACACACCGAATCAACATTACACAACGTCACATTTCTCCAAACAGAATCACCAACAGCCAGAGTAGGGAAAAGCTATTTGAAACATGAATCATGGGCTTCTGTTTAGGATTATGCCTTCTCCTCACCATTACTAAGCTAGCCTGTTTTCCTGGCTGCTTGGGAAAATCTGCTAACGTAAAGGTAACAGTGCCTTACAGGTCAACAAGGCTGCAGACAGCAATAAAGGATGTCTATTCATTGCTTATAATTACTTTGTCACCTAAGAGTCACTGCATGAGGATTTTCACTGTTAAAAGTACATCCCAAATAGATGAGCTCATGAGCTCTTTATGCTTCTTGTTTCTTATATTACAGAATATAATCTGAAATGGGACACAAACAATGTTACTGTCACGGTCGGACGGTCCTCCCCGGGCAACCTGAGTTTTGTTA